ATCAGGAAGAACTTTTTGACTGTTAGAGCAGCACAACAATGGAACCCATTACCCCAGGAGGTTGTGTATTATTCTACACTAGAAGCAATCAAGATGCACCTTGACAGCCATCTGAGAGAGATGCTTTAACTGGAACATCTTGTACCAAGCAGGGAGTTGGACCCAGTGGTCTTCTGGCCCCTTCCAACTCTACTATTCTATGATTCTATTATTCTATGTGCAACAATCTTCCATTAACAGTATGGAATATTATTTTCCCTTTGATGAAAGTTTATGAACAGTGTGAAGTTTTAGCAGTAAGCACCAACACTTTGAATTATTTTCAGAAATGGACAAGTGGGCAGTAGGCTTCTTGAAGCTCCAGAGAAAATGTTGCTAAAGAATGTGCCCAGTCGGTAGCCATAAAAGGCACTGGTGTTACAAACTGGCTGCAATTCAGTAAACTGTCCCCAAACCAAATTTTACACTGGGAATTTTTTTAAAAGCTATTTTTGCTTAGGAAAGTCATGCTTGATGAACTGATATCATGGAGATCAGGCTTTCGCTTCCCAGTTCTGCAGGACATTAATTTGGAGAAGACTTTTCCACAGCCATCCCCCAATGTCCCCACTGCTCCAGATGTCTCACCCAAGAGAACCCTGCTTTTCCAAGACTCTAGCCTAAGATGGTTGGGCTTTTCTCCTCTGTTCCTGATAACTTCTAGAAAAGCTTTACCACAGCTTCTGCCCCCATGAACCATCAGAGTTAATTGAAATTTGTGCAAATTGCTCCCTTTTACTAAAGAAGCACCAACTATATTTAATACTCAATCTTTCAGTGCTGTTGCTCTGTATTTCTACCTTGAGATGCTCATGGAGCTGTCAAAGATGCTCCCACCATCTCCTGTCTTGCTCTATCAAAGAAGCATGATAAATGTGATATCTCAGACTTGCAGACTAAAATTTGGAACTTTACATTGGCCTTCTAGGGTTCCCACAAAAGCAGTGCCAACCTTTCCTCTTACCCCTGAACATTTGGTGGCTTTCCATCTTTTGAAAGTATTTCCACTGCCCCACATTTAAAAGGTTGTTCTGCCTTTCCTCAGTCTTAGTGTCTGGAGGTAAACATGTTAAGCTCAATTAGAGCAGCACTTTTGGTATTCGCCCCCATCTTTGTTCTTGCTGCTTGTGTTGTTGACTTCTCCCAGCACAGGAATGGAGCTCCTGGTGATTTGTCCAAAATCAGTTCTATCCTTAGGCTGAAAAAGGTTCCTCACCCCTGTTTTAGGAGAAATAAATTCCATTGTATATCACCCTGACTTCTCTGATTCTGCTCTGCCTGACTAGACTTTACTCTGGTGTGTCTCCCTGGCTTCTGCTTTGCAAAACTGTACCTCTTGCTTTGAACCCAAATCTTCCCCACTGCCGTGCTTCTCGTGCTTCGAAAAGAACAGCTTTTCTAAGCTGCAACACAGCCTGCCAATTGCTGACCAAGGAAGCCCACCAGCCCTGGATGGTGGGCCACCAGGGACTTGGGAGTCCTCCTGGTCTGATATTTGCCTGGGAATGTGAAAGCATGATCATAAAATAACTGGAAGGTGCTGCGCTGCGTAGGCCTGAGGTCACGTCGTATATCTTTTTCTACAATCGGCTTCTGGCAACAAGGATGACATGATTCCATTCCATTCTGAAATTATTATTCTCTTATGTACCCAGCTGTTGACCCAAGGGTCTGTTTCAGAGAAGATCATATTTAGTCCTCTGCTAGCACTGGATTTGCAACAACATGGACATCAATTGCTCCGTAAACTCTAGGAAAATGCTTTTCACAGTGTCTGCAGATTCCATCACCTTTCATTACTTTCAGGCCAAGTTTTTTTCTAGTTTAGGGTTCACTCAAGATGAACTAATAAAAATTCTCAAAATACATTTGTAGAAAAATACAAGCGGTATGTATGCCTGTGCGCATGTGATGAAATGCATTTCCTCAGAAATATTCTGCAGACCAGAGTCTGATAGTGTCAGTCATCTCTTCCTTCTGCAGATTTCTGAAAGCTTTTACTAATAGGGAATTTGTGTCAGTTCAGTGAGGTCAATGAAATAGAACTGTATCTTGAAGTTACATTGGGAAAGTGAAGCTTAAAAGACCAGCGGGTGCCACATATGCCGACCATTGGCAGGAGATTTTTGAAAGACCTACTTATACAGACATTGTGGGCTAAAATTCAGGGTCATTCAATGGAGTCACCTCGAAATAGCTCCAGGATGAACAAAAGGCAGTACTTTTTCATACACTATAGGATTAATTTATGGAATTCTCAATCACAAGATTTGGCAAAGGCTTTAAAAACTGTGTTGAAAGATTAGATGGATTCTTAGAAAAGGGGTCTATTTTCTATGATGGCTAAATTGAACCTTCATATCCAGAAGCAGTGTATCTCTGAATATCAAATATGGGGAAGAAATGGATGAGATCTACCATCTTTATTTCTTTATTATATTGATCTCTTGCCTTTCCTGACACAACTGTCTGACTGCTGAGTGAAGTCTTTTCTATCAGGAAGAACATAAGAACCATGCTGAATTGGATCACAGATCAATCTAGTTCTGCATGCTTTTCTCACAGATGCCTAATGGGAAGCCCATGCAGGTAGCACTTTCATATTTTCAAGGAACTGGTACTGATAGGACTTTACCTCTGATACTGGAAATACAGTATAGACATCATGATCAATAGTCATGGATAGCCTAACCCTACATGAACTTGTATAGTCCTGGTTTGGAGCCATCCAAGTTTGAGAAACGGGGTATCATCATGGTTAGGGTTAGACTGGGATCAAGGAGATCTTCATTCTAGTCCCCAGTCACACTTGGGACTTAATGGGAGACTTTGGGCCAGTTGCAGGCTCGCAGAGTAACCTGCCTCACAAGGTTGTTGTTGTTGGCAGGGTGTGGGTGCAATCATGAGCGACTTCGAGGCCTTGGGGAAGCAACACAGGGACCTTAAGACCCAAGTGGCCTTCTCATCGATCTTACCAATCTGGGGATTTGGGTCAGGCAGGGATAGGAGGGTTGCCGAGGTGAACGACGGGCTTAGGGTGTGGTGCCAGAAGGAACATTTCGGGTTCCTCACCACAGCACCTGTTTTCTTGCCAATGGACTTCTGACAAGGGGCGGGTTGCATCTCACGAGGATGGGGAAAAGGTCCTTTGGAGATGCTCTAGCGAGCTTCGTCCGGAAGACTTTAAACTGAGCCTGGGGGTGGGATTTGGGCCCCCCAGAAACTTGTCCTCACTGGACAAGTGAGGGGAGAGGATCAGAGCTCTGGGAGCAGGGTTTTAGAGGTACTGCAGGGACTGACAGGACTCTTACAAAGAGAGACCAGGTATCAGGGAAGATGAAGGGAGAAGGAGGCTGGGAACTCCAAGGAAAGGAAGTGGTGGGAAGGAGATGAGGTGCACGTACACCAATGCTAGGAGCATGGGTAATGAGCAGGAAGAGCTTGAAGCTCTCCTGGGAATAGGAGGGTATGACCTGGTGGGAATCACAGAAACTTGGTGGGATGAAAGGCAAGTCTGGAATGTGAACATAGAAGGCTATCACCATTTTAGAAAGGATGGGAAGGGAAAGAGGGGTTGGGGCATGGCTTTATATGTCAGGGAAGGGATAGGATGCAGTGAGATAGAATGCAGCACAGATGGGGATTTGGTAGAGTCAGACTGGGTGAAACTTAGGGTTTTTGGCAGGGAAAGGAACCTGACAGAGGGGGTATGTTATTGACCTCCAGGTCAACTTGAGACCCTGGATGATGTCCTGACAGATCAGATTCTAAGGACATCTTGGGGGAGGGACACCGTAATTATGGAGATTTCAATCTCCCAGATATTAGTTGGGAGACTCACTCGGCAGTGACAGCCAGGTCACGTCGCTTCCTAGAGGCTATAGAGGGAGGGTTTTTCACACAGAGAGTCCGAGAGGCAACGAGCGGGGGAAACATCCTTGACTTGGTCTTGACCAATAGGGAGGAGCTGATAGATGAAGTACAGATTAGGGGAGCTCTGGATGCGAGTGATCACTCCATCCTTTGCTTTGAGATCAGGGGACTGGGGACGTGCAGCAGGTCAAGCACTAGAAGCTGGGACTTCAAGAGGGCCAACTTTGGCCAACTGAAGGCAAGACTGGGGAAAGTCTCCTGGGATAGGTTACTGGAAGGCAAGCGAGTTGAGGATGGGTGGATGGCACTCAAAAGGGAGGTTTTGGAGGCGCAAGCCTTGACGATACCTCTAGTCAGTAAGGTGGGGAGACGGAGGAGAGTGCCGCCATGGATGCAAAAGGAGGTGGTTAGAGGGATTGGACAAAAAAGGAACCTCCGTAGGAAATGGGTACTGGGGCAATAGACAGAAGGGTATACCGGGAGGAGGAGACCCATTGCAGAAGGATTTTTCGCAAGGCTAAGGCTGATTACGAGCTGAGACTCGCCAAGAATATCAAGAGCAATAAAAAGGGCTTCTATCAGCATGTAAATTGGAAGAGGAAGGGGGGACAGGTAGTGGGACCGCCAAATAAGGAGGAAGGAGATCCAGTGACTGATATGAGGGAACAGGCACAGATGCTAAATGACTATTTTGCCTCTGTGTTCTCCCCAAAGCAGGACGGGGGAGATCCGCATAGGAGATTAGATGAGGCCGGGGACTTAGGGAAACAGATTAGAGTCACCCCCCTTGAAGTCAAGGGGCTCCTCAGGGCATTGGATGTTACAAAGGCACCAGGCCCTGACAGGTTACACCTGAGAATATTTCGAGAGATGGCAGGGGTTCTCTCACGCCCACTGGCCTCCATTTTGAGGCCTTGTGGAGAACGGGTAAAGTTCCAGAGGACTGGAGGGTGGCAACAATGGTCCCAATTTTCCAGGGACATGGGGAATTACAGACCTGTTAGCCTTACGTCCATTGTAGGAAAAACAATGGAAAGGCTCATAATAGTGAGAGGTCTAGTGATGCTAGATAGGGAAGGGAGGCTGACAGCCACACAACACGGCTTCCGCAAAAACAGGTCCTGCCAGACAAACCTTGTGTAATTCTACAACAAGATTTTGAGGTGAATAGATGGACGGGATGCAGTGGATGTGGTTTACCTGGATTTCAGCAAGGCCTTTGACAAAGTGCCCCATGATATCCTGGTGGAGAAACTGAGGAGTTTTGGGATACACCAAAGCACTGTCCGGTGGATTAGGGCATGGTTGACTGACCAAAAGCAGAAGGTAACCATCGGGATGGTGGCCAGTGACAAGTGGGGTCCCCCAGGGCTCTGTCCTGGGGCCAATCCTGTTTAATCTTTTCATCAATGACATGGAAGAAGGGGTGAACAGTCTGCTGGTCAAATTTGCAGATGATACTAAAACTGGGGCTGTTGCCACAACTGAGGAGCAGGTACTCCAGATGCAAAAGGATCTGGACAGACTTTGGAAGTGAGCAGGAGACAACAGGATGGCATTGAATGTGGATAAGTGCAAGGTCTTGCACTTGGTGCATAGAAATAGGTGTCATAAGTACAGGTTAGGGGACAAGTACCTGGAGAGTAGCACTTGTGAAAGGGACCTTGGGGTGCTGGTTGAATGCAGGCTAAACATGAGTCAGCAGTGTGATGTGGTGGTCAAGAGGGCAAATGTCACCCTTGGTTGCATAGCCAAAAGTGTGGCTTGTAGATCACGAGAGGTATTACTACCACTCTATACAACTCTGGTGCACCCACAACTGGAGTACTTTGTTCAGTTCTGGGGGCCTCGTTACAGGAAGGATATAGCCAGGTTAGAGTCAGTGCAGTGCAGGGCCACAAGGTTGGTGGCCAGTTTGCAGGGGATGCCATATGAGGCGAGACTGAGGGAACTGGGTCTCTTCAGCCTGGAGAAGAGGAGACTCAGAGGGGATATGTTGGCAAAGTACAGGTATGTGAGGGGATGTCACATGGAGGTGGGTAGAGACCTGTTCTTCCCTGCAGAGGAAGAGAGGACACGCTCCAATGGAGCAAAGCTCAGGAAACCAAGGTCCCGTTTAGATGCCAGCAAGCACTTCCTGACAGTTAGCACCCCAAGGGTATGGAATGGGCTTCCACAAGAGGTGGTTGTGCCCCCATCGGTGAGGGTGTTCAAAGATAGGCTAGACATGCACATGGTGGGCATGTCGTGAGCAGAGCTGGCTGGAGCTGGGGGTCAGACTAGATGGCCTGGGAGATCCCTTCTGACTCACTCTGTTTTTATGTTTCTCTGTTGTGAGGAGGAAAGTTAAATAAGTCACCTTAAGTTCCTTGAAAGGAAATAAATAAGTGGGAAATAAATAAAACACAATTCATAGTTGTGTACTGTACACAGGGTATATTAAAATTGTTAGTGCAGGTAAGTGTTATGTTCTGCGTAGACTGTTCTCCTAGCCAGGTCACCCAAGCTGGAGTTAAGATACCAGACTATCAGGAAACTAACAAAAACATCAGCAGAAGAGAACTGATATTTGTAATGGTAGTGGAGACAAAGAAACTCCTTAGAGCAGCCATTGGAAAGCAGCAGTGAGGGTGTCACTGGTGGAGGATTTTTCATAGGTAGCATCGTCAAAGCTCACATCGTGTTCCTATGTGTCATAGTTATTCTGGTAAGTATGACACACAGGAACACAGTGGTAAACCACTTCTAAGTCTACTTACCCTGAAAACTCTATGATGAAACATTAAACAAGAAAGAAAGAAAGAAAGAAGTGATACTACCAAAAGATGAGAGTCCCAGGTTGGAAGGCAGTGAACGAGCTACTGGGGAACAGCAAAAGGAAAGTATGAATAGTACTGATCCTGATGCTGCAAATAGATCAAAGCCAAAAGGAGGACTAGTGGCTCACATGAACAGAGGTGAAATGGAAGTCAAATGTTGCCCAATACATCCAACGGAGCATGGAACATGAGAAGTATGAAAACTGGAACATGAAAACTGGAAAACTTAAACTGAAAAGCACTGCGGAACTTGGTGAAGTGAACTAAGCTGGATTGGAATGAGATATTTTCATCAGACAAACATCAGAGTGTTTTACCCTGGAAAGGACAAACTCAGGAGGAAAGGAGTGGCTCTAATACTGAGGTAAGATGATTCACAGGCAGTAATGCAAGGCCCAAATGAATCATATCCATCAGAATTCTCCAAAAAAAACCTATCAGTATAGCCACCATTCAAGTGCACACTCCAACAGCTGCAAAAACAGAAGAAATGAAAACTTTTATGCAAGCATCTGAGAAGAAATCAATACAAGAGAAGCTGATAATCAACCATATGTTAAATGCAAATACAAAATTCAGGCAACATAGAAATCACTTAATGGCCAAAACAGCAATCAAATAGACTATGCAATAGAAACTATGAAATGGAGAAGCTGTGTTTTCGCTGCCAAAACAAGTCCAGGAACAAATTGTAGTAGTGAACATTAATTCTTAATTTGAAAACAAATAGTAAAGCTCAAAAAAGATAAGTAACAGAAGCACAGTGGCAAAATGCAACTAAATAGGGATTCCTGCAGAATCTAAAGTTGATATAAAAACAGATTTGCATGACTGAATGCAATTGACCATGGACTAGGAAAAAAATCACCTGTAGAAAAAGAAAAACCCTAGATGGTTAATGAAAGATGCTCTAGCAATTGCTAAGGACACGTGAGAAACAAAAGCGGATGTGACAGAAACAGAGTCAAAATCCTGAATGCAACTTTTCCATGACTATCACATGGGGACAAAAAAATATTACATTGGGTGGTGGAAAGAAATAGAAATGAACAACAAAGAACAAAAGTGGGAAAAAAGAGATCACTTCCAGAAGATCCCAGAAATCCAAGGGAAATTCAAACCTTGATTAGGAATGCTGAAAGACCAGCATGGGAACATACTATCTGACTAGGAGAAAATAAAAAGAAGGTGGAAAAAATATACAGAAGAGTCATACAGAAGGGATGAAGGATGGCAGATTCCTTCAGAGTGTAATCCTATGGGGAAGAAGCCAAAATGTTAGAAAGTGATGCAAACTCTCTCTTAAAGCATCTGGAAGGAATAAAGTACCTGAAGTAGATGGGTACCGATAGCTGTCTTCTAAGCTGCAGAGTCTGAATTGGTCCTAATCCTAAGAAAAGCATGCTGAAACATTAGAAAAAAAAAAAGCAATGGTCCGCAGAGTGGAAACATGACGGCCAATGTAACCAGGTGATGTAAAACTGATTCCTCATGAAAGGTTGTCTCGCAATATTTTGTGGGACTTTATCCGAATTCAGAGACAGAATATATAATAGGATTTTCTCCTTGAATCCACATATTAAAGGTAAAATAACGAATAGTAACATTTCCATCTCTGCACCCAGCAGTTCACCCTTAATTGTTCCTACTGATATACACTGATAAGGCTGACAGCATTCGTTTCATTTATACTATTTCATTATCTAATATAAAGCAAGTCTGGTTGCAATAGATGGTCACCAAAGCTCAGGTCTGTGCGGAGCAGCTGGCGTCGCAGGAGGGAGTCCTAAGGTTTTCTCCGAAAAGTGTTCTGCATGATTTCTAAATCTGCCATGACTGCTTCTCCCTGAGACTTTTCTTTATATAATAATGAGCACCTTCACTGAGAAAATCTTCAATGCAGAATCTATCAGTTGCCCTCCATTGCTATGATGATGATGATGATGATGATGATGATGATGATGATGGAACTGATACATTGTTCCAACTATTGCTTTAGTAGCTGTTTCCAAGAGAACAATTTATGAAATATCTAAATGACAAGATCTGTTTTCTTATTTGAACATCAACCAGCCTTTTACATTTCTGGAATCTGTTTCACCAGATCTTTTTGTTAAAGTTAAGCAACATCCTTTACAGCCAGGTGTGAGCAACTTGTTGTCCTACAGATATAGGTATGAGCAACTCCCATCATTCTCTGCATTTGTTATGCTGGTTAGGGCTGATGGGAGTTGTAGGTTGAGACATCCAGAGGGCCAAAAGTTGCCCACTCTGTTTTAATCCAAGTTTGATTCGGGGGTACAATACAAGGGTAGTGGCATAAAGCAAAACCAGAAACTTTGCTCTCTTCTCCAGGAGTGAATGGAAATCATGGGCACTTTTTCCATCCTTCCTCACTCCATGTTGACACCACATTTCAGATTGGAATATTAGCCACCCAATGACATAGACTTCCTGTTAGAATATGTTTTTTTTTTTGGGCTTCCATGTGGAACTACGACCTGCATATGTATAGACATGTTGTGTAACTCCACCCTAACTCACAGCAAGGGGCTAATAATAGTATGCAATGGCAGTTTAGCACATGTATCACAAAAGCTAACACCACACCGTGAGTTGGGAACAGAGTGAAAAACCTTCTGCAGGAAGTCAGGTTATATTGAATTTCAGACTGATAGAAAAGTTGACTAGCAAAATGTCAGCTAACAAATCACTCATTATAGCCCTAATTCCTGGCCTCTAAAAATCAGCCAATTTTCTGCACTTTTTTGTGAGTGTTTCTTGTTATAATCATGAATATGTGTTTTATTTTGAAATAATGGTAAGAGCAGAGGTAAAAGGAAATAATTGGCATAACAATACAACTAGACCTCTAAACAAATAAAGAAGCTCATTCACTATAATTATTAGTACATAAAAGATATGCCTCCTAGGAATGAAACATACAGGGGAGAAGCAGGCATAAAAGGTGGGGGTGGGGTGAGAGAGAGAGAGAGAGAGAGAGAGAGAGATTAAGGGAGACTTGTGTGGAGTTTAATCAGAAATCTGAATGGCTTCCTCATAAGAAATAAGTTGAATCTAAACTATCACAACACAGTTCAGGGCCTGTTGTTGAGCAGGTCTATGAGTTACAATAGTCTCCCAAATTTAACTCTCACCTTTTCTTGAGCTGTTTGCTTTGGAAACTTACCTTTACATGCTTCACATGACTTTGCTACCATAGACAATTGCTTAAGAACATTGTTCTAAGCACTTAGCCTGTGTTATTTACTGTGGGAAATAGGAGAGTGTTATATTTCTCTATTGAAGGTTCTTTACTTGAATTTCATTTTCTAAAATGGGAGTTACTCATATTCCTTTCTGTGCATTATTTCCCTGGTTCTAATCCATACTACAACAATCCATTCAGATAATCTTCACGCTGGAAAACAGGCCTTGGTTGAGTTACTGCTCTCTTATGTACCTTAAT